TATTGTATTTATTGCATTTCTAAGTCACGATATGTCGAGTTCCATGTTGTTACTAACGTTTCTTCGTTTACTCTAAGAAGCATAGTACATTATAAGAGCAAACATTTGACCCTGATGGCCATGCTTCAAGTAGTTGGTCGCGTCTTACAAGAGAGTTAAGAGGTTAAAACCAATTGAAATTTATAAACCGTCATCCCCGAAAAGTGGTCGCGGTCGCTTACAGGAAGTGGTCGTTAACCAGTAATTCCAACAGCAAGACTTTGACTTGGCGGACAGTTTTGGTATTCTGGACATGTGATCGCATATGACGGGAGGTGGTCGCTTACTGCAGGTGTTGGAGATTCGATTGTAGTCTCCTCACTACCAATACGGCCACGAGGCGGCACTCACCGACGATGCGTCGAGCGTAATAATTCTAGTTTATATTGGAGGAGTTCTTCAAATTTTTCAATATTGATTAATGAAGCTTACAATATTTAGCCTGGATGGAGAAATATTTATCGAAACAAACGTTTGGATTTATACTCTGTCTAACCGAATCTTTCAGGATCTATGAATTTGTACTAGTTGCACGTTTGTAGTTGTCTTTCAACAAGTGAGAATAATCCAACAGGGCTGGCTGAGGCTAAACCGGAACAGTTTGAAAACTAGCCTGTTCCAGGCTCCGAGGTAGTGGTGAAAAATCGTTCAGTAAAAAAAAATGCGAAAAACCCGCGGGGACTGGGGAGAGACAGGGCGGCCACCGCCCCCTTTCCTAAGTCGCGCGCGTCTTATTTTCGCTTTGCTCGATTTAATACATAATTAATGCAACGTCGATGACTTGTGTATTCTTTGCTGACAAAGAGCTTAGGAACCTCGATCCCGGATCACTCGGATCGTGGACGTTGGTGCTCTAGTATAGGCTTTACTAATAGACCACTCTAGCTGCGATAATTTGCAACATAGCGATTTTCAAGCGTGGAAACAAATGCATATGCAACAGCTGCACGCGTATGTTGTAGATTGGTGAATTTAGAGTAGTTTATTAGTAAGCCTCATTAATTCCTATTTGGCTTTCTTAATCTTCCTTTTTTCCCCTTTTTGCATTTTTTCTTTGACAACATTATTGCAATTAGGGATATGTGGGATCTGTAAATTATCTAATCACGCATCTTTTCATGAAAGTGCTGAGTCATCGAAAAATGTAGAAATCAGGGGCACAAGTATTATTAGGAGAAAGAATGACAATTTGTCACAATGGACTGACGATAGAGTTATATTATATTGATCTACCACCGGTTATTCTTCGTATTCTATAAATTATCATATTACCTAGTCTGCTACAAAGAAACTTCTGACAACAACTTTCAACCAAAAGTACAATTTACCTAGTTCACTGAACAATTTCGATTACACTCGGTTGTTTCATTGACAGATTATATAATTTCATTTGCAGATTATGTATCTTTCAGCTGTTAAGGTTTTAACTTGCTCTAAGCTCAGGAGAGGTTAAATAAATAAAACACTTTAAGATGGTCAGTTCTCATCTTCAGATGCTTTAGCCTATCTAACCAACTGAATATCCAAACGAGTACATGAAGCTGGCAGTGACGGTGGCAGTTAGAAGAATCCCGTTCACCAGAGGACCTGAGGCTCCATTGCAGTAGTGAGATCAACAACAACTGACTAACTTCACATTTGTATTTGGGGTCTCTCTACAGACATCAGTGGCTGATGGTGAACACGTATTATAACATAACAAAAGTAAATCGCGCGCTCTGATTGGTCAGTTAGCCACTACCATTTGCTCGTGGGTGCACGCCAAGAAACTGAGCTAGCGCGGTAAAATTTAGGCAAATTCAACAAATCTCCTCTCCTGACGGTAAAATACACCGATGAAATGCACAGATGAAAAGTGGAAGTTGAAGAAAATACTAAGCTGTCGTTTTGAAGGAAAAAAGACAAAAGATCAAGCGACAAATTTGCCCGGATGAATTAATCACTGTTTTCCTCGCGACTAGAATCGGCTGAAGGATAATCGAGCGAGCGAAGATTTAAGGTACATTTTATGTGTTTTTTGTAGAAGAAAAAGTCTGTTTGAAATGCAAAGTTATCAATTAGCACTGTGTTATTGACTTTTTGGTCAAGCTAACGGTAAATTCAAGGAAATATTTTAGGAAACACGCTCGAAGTCGAGACAGCTTTGTTGTGAAGTTTTCATCTCATCGATTAAGAATTTTAGTTGAGTTTATAAAACGGGCACATTACGCTGGAATAAGCGAATTTCATTTGAGTACAGAAACATGTGGGTTTTCAAATAAATTTTTCAAAAAATAACTTCTGTGTGTATTATTTTGTTCCTCAGTGTTCATTCATAACAGTCGTTCCGAGAACGGTCGAAAAACAACAGGTTCAACGCCGGCTTTGTGTCGGCGAATTTCAGTTGCAACTTTGACTTTTATAGCTGGATTTCACCAAACAGATTTCGACACAAAGCTAGTTAATTTCTTTTTAAAATTAGTGTTACCTGTTATTCTAAAGGAATTACAGTCAAATTTTCTCATTTCTACTTTACGTTTATTTCAAAAATTGTCACATAAATAAGCTTGATAGTTATTTTTATTTATTTAGTTTTAGCTTATTTTTTAGAGTCTTTTTAGCTGGTGTTTATAGTTGCATCTATAGTTTTCCCTCAAAGTTTTTACCCTAATATTAAGAGCAAGTAGACAGATGCCATTCAGAATAAAAACAAAAAACGTTTTGCAATTTACCTGAAGACGGAGAACGGTTGATTCAGCGAAAGAAAAACTCAAAGACAAGTTTTTGAAAAACATAGAACTTGATTTGTTTAAGCGCGGGCAGATGGCAGCATACATGAACTCGTACCGATGACTCAACCGAAGGCAAATGGAAAATAATGTTTTTCTCTTTTGATTATGTTATAAAAGAAATGGTAAACGTTGCAGCTGTGCAACCATGGAGTTATGGATGCACTTGGGACGTTTGCTAAGCACTCAAGAAGCTAGAGTCGCACTCGGCTATCGCCTCGTGCGAATCTTACGAGTCTTACCCTTCTTTCGAGCTTAGCAACCTCCCGCGTGCATCCATAACTCCATGGTTGCACGCTGCACGTTTACCATTTCTTAATTAGCGTATCCTTTATCGTAACCTGTATGTTTGACCCCAGATCTAGCGTAAACTCTTGCCTTGACACAATGCTGCGAGGGCGAACATGTTACTCGCGTTCGCATGGCGTCACATTCCTTGAAAGAGTGCGCAGTGCGTATATACTGAAACAATGATGACACATGCGGGAATTCCCTATTATAGCGAAAAAAAAGAGCCAGGTTAATAAGACCAACCATTTTCAATTGCAGAAACAGACCAGTGATATGCGGGAAATTTGTTCAAAAGCTACGCTGCCTTAGTTGATTCAACAGAGTGCTCCACCGTGAAGAAAACAAGGTTGAATTCCTCGAAGGACAGTTTCGTAACGTTTGTCCACAGAAAAGGTAACTGAGCATTCTTGACCACGCAACCTACCGTCTCAAGCGGTTTCAAATACAAATTAAGGTTAAAAAAAACCTGTGGTGAAATTAATGGTGCAAACATTTTTTGCAGCAAAAATTAAAGCAGAAGGAAGCGTGACCTTCCAATTCCAAGACATCTTTTCTTCAATGGCCGACTTTCGCGATGTCAATGCTGCCATGCAGCCCGAGTTATAAAGGCAAGTAGAATCCTTGTGGCTGTGAGAAAAAGGCTATTTTTTTATATCGACAGTGAGAAATCAAAGAGTCCTTCGTGGCCTATTTGATTGTCATCGTGGTCGAGCCCGCAACATTAAAAAAGCGGCTGCTTTTGCTAATTGATTGGCGCCAAAAAATGACGCTCTTTTCAAAGAGTTTGATTATTATTTCTTTGAGACATTCTGCATATATTACATTCCCCAAAATTATGTCATTCAGCAAGCCATGCCACATGCCATTCCACAAACTCATTCCTCCTTTTACCCTCCGTGGCTTTAGACGAGCCAAAGTAGTGAAGGCGAGTCTTGAAATAAAATATGTATTGGAAAAGTAAAGTCTTGCAAGACGCACTGGCGAACTTTTAGTTGTGTAGCAGTTTTGTCCTTGTGAACTAGGACAATGCAGGTCCCCTTTGTAATTGTATTGCGATTTTACCACCCCGATATAACGGATAAAATCGATCGTTTAATCCATGCCTCAGGCTCAAAGATGGCTTTAAAGATGAGCAGTGTTGTCAAACAACTGATGTACGTGTTAAATTTTTTTCGAGTTACCGCTGGCAAAATTCACTCTTTTCGGATCCGAAGTAAAGAAACGCTTCGGATCATTTATCCATAAAAGTATCCGGTTTTGGATTTGACTCAAAGAATCCATCTCTGTTGGGGATTATTTGGATCAATAATCCGTCTTTTGAATTTAGTAAAGAAACGAAATATCTGTTTACGGATTAAAAATCCGGATTTGGATTTTAGTAAATAAAACGCACCCTTACTGTTCGCTTTCGCTTCTATGGCAAGTACTAGTAGCCGAATACGGGGTGGAACAACAAATTAAAAATATCTTCATGGCATAATTGACAGACTGAAGTACAATTAGGCTAAGTCTTCGGATTTCGTTCACGAGATCGTTTAGCTCTCGTATTTAATTAAACTGAAAAGGAAACAAATTTTTTTGTCCTGCTGAGATGGATATTTGTTTTTCTTTCTTTGCCCCGGCTTTTCATGTATTTTTAAATACAAGTTAAAACTTGAAGAAACAACTTTCCAATAAATAGATAAATTCTTGTCACTTGCAGATTTATTCCCTGTGCTCGTCTTCCAATTTTTTCTTGATACTTAAAGAGGAAAGCTTATGAACAAACATTAAAAGTTTCTTCAAAGAAAATCGCAGGTGTTTATTGCAGTTTAAACAAGATGAAATATTAATATTGACATTTTGTGCATAACAATTTACTCCTTAAGACTGTCTTGATCAAAAGCGAAACATTTCTACGCGATGCGCTTGAAATTGATGGAGGCCAGTTTTTCCAACCTGAAGCTTTGCATCCTGTACGTTGTAGTGACTGCCTGCCTGTTTCACAAAGGTAAACTAAGCATAAGAGGCCGCATTTTCCATAATGCGATGAACAATTAATTGTTTCATCGCAAGCTTGGCTTAAACCACAGCTAACAAAATATGGCCCCAACGGTCACTAACATTGAATCTCACCAATTATAGCTAACTTTGTTTAGAATTTTACTGTCTGAGTTTGTAGCGAAAGAGTTAGTTAAAAGTAAGATGGAACAGACTTGCTTTCCATTTTTGTTGCGCTAGACAAATACTTTTTTCATCGTACATTTGACACCACAGCAACAAAGAGATAAAACTGATGACCAAAATGAAAATGGGCCCTAATTGTTCGGTTTTTTTTTTTTGCTTTGAATAATGCTTAAAGGAGGGCTAATGCATGGTGTAGTACACAGTTCTTTATTAAGGAGACAAGTGAGCCGATGAAATAAGTCGACCATAGTTTGAGTAGATCAGTCTTAGTCCAAAGGAGGATTATTCAAGTATCCCATGATGCAGCCGGCCAAAACATCGCTCAGTCGGTGTCAAATTTTCTGAACAATTCGAAAGACTTTTGGCCAAATTTAAAGTTCATCATTCTTTTTTTTCTTGTCTATGGTTAACTTTGACGTCGCTCTCTCTCCTTCGTAATCTCCGTTATGAGCAGGAAGAAGATTGAGCCACGCTTGTTGGGTTTACGAAGTTGGAGACCACGACAACAATATTCGGGCTGCAGCTTCTTCATCGCCTTCTCTCTCAAAGCAAGCTATACAGTCTGAGTGGAATAACAAAATATCACAGTTAACGAACATTTGTACCTGGAAAGGAGTGAAATTAAAAATAATTGATGGTCAAAACAAACTTGCTCAAACTGTTAGCTCCGTTTCCTGAGGTGGGCGGGCCAATATTTCTTCCATGAAGACCGATCGATCTTAAAACTAGGCAGCAGAAGAGTGGATTTGATACTGTATTTATACTAACCTTGTGAGTGTACTTCGACTTCACTTTGATTTCCACTGGGAAGGCTTGTCCTCACGCACGATCTTTCAGCTTGGCAGATCCGAGCGCACAAAAACACACATCTCGTCTTTCTCGTGATTTTTTGGGAAAACGTATGCACTCCGATCCAATACTCTTAGAAACCTTCATCAAGCTAAATTTGGTGGATTAATGTACACTTGACAACCTAAATCCAAACACTAGACATAAACAAGCGGCAATGAGGCGATCATCGACCAGTCCTCGTCAAGCAATTCCATGGCAAATGAAGGGTCACGTGCGCAATCTCATTTGATAATGTAGTTGATCCGCGTTGCGTCATGGAATACCTGAATAATTCTCCTTTTCTTAGTCCTAATCGTCTCCTAACGACTACTTAGGGATGATGATTTATCGTCATAAAATGCCTTAGGGGTGGATACTCGATTTGATCATATTTACATGTATTTTGCGCAATATAAATATCAAATTATTATTATTATTATTATTATTATTAAAGTTTAATACGGGAAGTCTCCGCCCCGAGGTCCAACCCCCTATCCTTTTATATGCTATTTATTGACTGAAAAGGAATCCCTTTCGTATACCTTTCTATTGAAAAATAGTACCCCTTTCACATAACTAGAACTTTGCATCCCTTTTAATTGCTGCAAATGCACTAAATCTCTAAATCCCAACACCAGAACGTTTTCTCGACTTTTTCACAGGTATATGATGCATCCGTAAGCCCTTTTAGGCCTTTTTACAGGCCGAAATGACAAATTTCCCTACCCTTTTTATATACTTCAAACAGTAAAATCACATCTTTTCATATACCTGAAGCCTGAAAAAGGTACCCCTTTTCGGGCGGAGCCTTCTTGTATAGGGAGATCCCCCCGGGAATAAAAGCTGTCTGCCTACTTTGGAACTTCTAACCGTTTTGTCCACCTTTGGCTAAGAAAGGCGATGAGTACAAGCGCACTGTCTGCAACAGATTCTGTTCAATTAACTTACTAATTGATCTCCAGAACGCAGGCGCCAGAATTTTTGCCTGTTTTAGAAATTAAAGTACCTGTCCGGCACTTAAAAGTGCGCGCGGTGATTTTTAACCAAACATTGTCGAGCTACTGATCGAGCCAGTTTTGTTGCAATATTTCATGATTATCGCTGAAGATCGACTACCTCCAAGAGATTGTTTTAATTAGGTAGATGACATTTGGTTCGACGCTGTTGAAGATATGTATTAGTGGTGTTATGGCATTATTTACATAAGACGGTTTCGATTAAGGCGACAATCTAAACAGGTACTTCGCGCGCGGCAACTATGTACGCACCTATTCAGAGTCTGACTCACGAGAAAATGCAATGAAGGGATGAACTACTAGCTTTTGGCTTGTAAGCTCAATTTCTTAGGGTGTCACTCAAAAGCAGAATACAGAGTTTCCATTTTTATGGTAAACTAAACAAGCGCGTTAAGTTTCTCGTGCATCAATTCGAAGTTGCAGAGCTGAAGGCCCGTGTATGTAGTTATAAATGACAAAGAAGCTCTGAGATTACACATCATGACTTTCAAATATTCAACCAACCACCGTTTTCTTGGAAATATCTGTTAGGAGCTCTTTAGCGCGCCTTAAATTTTGTGGCTGTTCGTTGGCGTCAGAGTTTCGGCATTTGTATGTTTTGTTCACCTAAGAATTTCGTAGCCCTTTTATTTGATTAGTGATTGTTTAGCTTCAAAATTCTCATGGAAAAAAAATTTTGCTGTTTATATTTGATCAAGGTTCCAGCCATCGTACACCTATCACTGTTTGTCATCACTTTGCCAAAAAAAAAAATTCTTAAATTTTTAAAACAATTTTTTAAAATCACCTTTATCAGCTCCAGAAATTTTTACAGTACTCTAAAAACTCTGAAGTAGTTTCTCTCGGGGACGCCATCATCTACTCAAGGCTGGCAGAATTTGGATTAGGCTTTTGCTCACTAGAGGTGAAGTACCTTTAATCCCTAATGAGATGAACATTTTTAATTTTTTTCTTTTTTACGGAACACAATACAAAAAAGTAGCAAACCAAATGACAATTCCATTTTGCTATCCATTTCCTCAGTGCATCCAACTGCCATGCCAGTTTAATAAGTTTGATTAAATTTAAATAAGTTATTTTCCTGTTGATATGCTTGTATAACTATAAATACTTTACATGATGATTCATTTTTGTTTCCGCCTGATTCAAAATTTAGCTGTGTTTTTCAATTCATTTTTGTCAAAATTTGACCGAAATGAGAGAAAAAACGGAAAATTACTAAAACACGAACGAAATAAAACGTTCAAAATTGTTTGCGAAGGTGAATGATTGAGAAATAGAAAACTGGCGGTTGCCATTCTTCCCCTTCATTTTTCCTTCGTTTTGGTACATTTCCCAGTTTTTAAACACTTTTGTTTCCTTTGCAGCAAACAGCTTAATCTGCAGTAAATGCAACAGCAACAAGTCATACGAAGAGTGCGCCGCAAATGCAACAACGGTGGACTGCGCAATGGACGATGCGCGCTGTGTGCACTTCAACTATGAGGTGTCTCAAGAAAACTCCGGCCAAAAGACAACATGGTTTGGCCTAGGATGTGTGGCTAATGGAGAATGTTCAAGCAGCTTTTTTCCGCCTTGTAAGAGCCTTGCAGAAGGAGCGAGGGAAGAAGATAAGATGAAAATCACCTGTCACGTGTCATGCTGTGGAAATGATTTTTGCAACTCACAAGTTTCGTTTAACTTTTCAGTGCTGGTTTTGCTGATGTCTCTCTTTCTGCAATTATTTTTAAAATCGTTTAGTCAATAAGTTTCCTCTATAAACTTCCAACATAATGCTCTTCGTTGAATCAGTGTCCATCTTTTTCACATTTTAGGTCCTTAAAGTTCTCTATCGATATGTTAAAGTGTGATTTTCTCAAGCCGAAAATATTCGCCCCGTCTAAAGTAATTCTAATTTCGGAATCCCGGAAATCTTTGCTTGAGGAATCCGGGATCTGAGAAATCTTTGCTTGTGAAATCCGGAATCCAGGAAATTTTTAATTTTTGCTTATGGAATCTGTAATCCAGCTCCAGGCGTTCGGAATCCAGTTATATATCGTGGAATGCAGAATCCAAGACTACATCGGGCGAGAATATGTTTTCACGTTACCGAACATGCGTTATTACTGCGATTCAGCTGCTGTGCTAGCTACTTGTAATTATCCTGGTAAACACATAGTTTTTTAATTGAGTGCGGATTTTGTGAAGTATTGAAAATTAGGTCAGCACCACAATATAACAAGTTAGTGCATCTTTGCCATGCACTGTCGAGAACAAAAAAATTTTGTGGCAACAATTACGTCTATTTATGACCACAACACATGGGATGAAAATAGCGACAACTTTTTTTATAATACAGACATGCATAATTGTTTCTTGAAATCTCAGGTCAAGCTAAAAAGTTATTCACTTACTATAATATTTCCTAATCTCTGGTAATAAATGGAAACATATCCGGCTTGTGATAAAGAGTATCTATATTGTGAAAGGTTTGAACCCAGGAGTCATTTCAAAAGTAGGTTGAGTTTGATCGTCCGGGTGAACGTAGTCCTATATAGGACTGTTGTTGTTGACAGTGACTGACGTTTCGACAACCTGTGCGGTAGTCATCTTCAGAGTCAAAGTGAGTTGTGTCACGTCAGTTGATGGTATTATACTCTGGTTATTGATCTGATTGGTCAATTACGTCGCGATGTTATTGGTCGTCTGTCAGTTAAGCGGTGATGTTATTGGCTATGAAGACTCGTAATCAGTAATTGGTGCGTTTCGATCCATCTATTGTCAGAGTTAAACAGTCGTCTATTGTTAGTCAAATTGTTAGTTCCCCAGTCGCTCTCTCATAGTTAGTTTTGCTTGATCTCGTCAATAAGTCGTTTGTACGGCGCTGGTAACTGTTGGCTACGATTCAGTGGCGTTTGTTCTAAGTTAGTAAACCAGCTTTCTAAAGTAAGACGTTGATAGTAGTCTATAGAATACGTTATACATGTCGCAGAGCCCCAGTCAATTTGATGTTTCGTCTTTAAATGGTGCTCAACAATGTGATTGTTGACGTCACCATTCCTCGTCGCTCGTTTGTGTTCGGTCAGTCGCGTGCTATAGGTTTCTGCCGGTTTCACCAATGTAAGAAGCCTAGCAGTGGCAGCATTTGATCTTGTATACTGATCCCTGTCTGTCCTCCGGTTTGTCTTTGTCCTTGACATTAGTAAGCAGTGGCCGTAAAGTGGTTATCGGTTTGTGTGCAACAGGTATATTAAGGTTGTAATATACGTGCAATAGTTTCAGAGGTGCCTCTGATGTACGGTATAGTCGCTGTCGTAACGAGGGCCAGATTTGGTCTGAGTGTTGGAAACAGTGTTACTGTGAGTGTTCCGTCTAACAAAGTCCGTGTTGTAATTGTTCTTAGCAAAAACGTTATTAAGATAATCAGTCTCGTCTTGTAGGTTGTCAGGTGAGTCGCAAACTATTTGCGCTCTTCTCGTCAGAGTCCGGATAGTAGTAGCCTTGTGAGAGGTCGGGCTGTGCGAAGACTGGTCTAATAATCGATCGGTATGTGTCGGTTTTCTGTAAATAGTCGTTTTTAGTTTGTTGCTGTTGCGAGTGACCAAGCAGTCTAGAAAAGGTATCTTACCATTTTCTTCCATCTCCTTGCCGAACTTATTTTTTTTTTATTTTTTATTTTTTTTTTTTTTATTCAAGACATTTATTACTATAATTACAAAGAACTACTTAAAAAGAAAATAATTACAAAGTTCTAAACAACCGTAATAACAGACATACTTACAATTATCTACATTTCACAATTATATACATAACAGCCACAAAACAGCCGCGCAATTGCCGAATGAGGCTTATTTTACAAAGAATTAATTAATACTTAATTATGTAGATAAAAGAGAGATTAACACTTAATATTTACAGTACGCTCTGAAATAAAAACAAAAACATAACCACACATACAAAAAAAAATCCAAAAATCCAAAAATCCAAAAAAACAAAAGTGTCTAATAAAAGATTACATTTTTAATTACATACTCACGAACTTAATTAAAGGGGAGAAATGTCTTTTGGCCATTTTTCATAAAAGGTTTCTAATTTATTATTCTTAGTGGAAATATATTTTTCAACTTGGTATTTAATTCTTACTTTAAATTTGAAACCTTCGATGTTTGGAAGTACCTGTTTCTTTCTGCAATCCCATAAATACAATTTACTAATTAATATCAGATAATTTAACAAGGGGCATTTTGACATCGTTATTCCAATTATAACCTCTCGTAAACAGAACCCGTGAAATTCCTTTGTTATTGTTAAATAATACTGTTCAACATTTTTCCACAACATATTTGCAAAAAGTACATTTGTCATGCTGCAGATATCCAATTTTAAAAAGTTTTACATTAGTGTAAAGTATTGAATTTAAAACTTTATATTGAAAGGATTTGACGTAAGGCTCCTGTGTTGTCAGGTGGGGAAGGTTGTAAGCAATTTTTAAGTCTTCGTCAGATAAGCCAAAATCATGTTTTAAATTCTTTGCATTACTAGGTAATTGTGCTTTATTTGATATTATTAAAGAGTAGTAGTCTTTAGTTTTCTTTTCCGCTATGTCAAAAATCTCATTCCCCTTTGTAAAATAAGTATTTTCTGTAAAGGTAGTATACTCTATTGTTTTCAGAATAGAAGGAATTGCATGCCTGAGACCTGTCCATGTAAGAAAATTAGCTTTCTCAATTATGTTATTGATTGCATTAAAGGATTCTATATTGTCGAGATTGAACAAGAGATCTTTAATAATACATATCCCCGAGTCATAATAAGATTTATAAAAGACTGGTTTTCCATCTATTCTTATATCTTTGTTATTCCAAATTATACAGAGCCGTTCTTTGTTAGCTAAAAAGAGATTTCGAAATTCTAACCAATATTCTAAGAGTTCTCTGTAGAAAACCGAGATGATTGAAAGATCGTTCATTGCATAATTGCATTTAAAAAGTAAAAGACCACCAACACTACGTAGGAGATGAAACAAGTAAAATTTCCACGTACTTTCATTATCGCTGAAAACACGTTTTAGCCAAGCTAGTCGTACAGCTTTGACCAAGCTTTCAATATCTGTCATTTTTTATGCCACCGTCTTCATAACTGTTTATTGAAGAGAGCCTCGTTACTTTATCCTTTCCATTCCATAAAAAAAGGAGAAAATTATACTATTCACTTGTTTGATGATTTTACTTGGAGGTGAAAGAACCGAAGATATAAAAACTAGTTTTGGAATAAGTAATGATTTGATTATAGTTACTTTACCATAAATGGACAGTCCTCTAGATGACCATATATTTGTCAGCTTCTTTATGCTGTCAACTTTCTCTTGAAAGTTTTTTTCGTAAAGTAATGATTGGTCATATGTAAAAAGGTTCCTAAAGCTTTTATGGGTTCACTGGGCCATTTAATACCAAACGGTTTTTCATCTTTTCTTTTAAGCGAACCAATCCACATTCCTTCTGTTTTAGAGCTATTTATCTCCAACCCACTGAAGTTCTTAAATACTTCTAGTTCTTGAAATAACGTTTTTGCAGAACTTTCATCAGACAGGATTGCTGTGGTATCGTCTGCGTATTGCAATAGCTTGGCTTCGTAATTTTCGATTTTAATTCCTTTGATATCAGCATTTTGACGAATGGAGATTGCCAAGCTTTCAACAGCTAAGATAAAGAGGTAAGGGGACAAAGGATCACCCTGCCTCACACCACGTTCTAAAGTAAAATAGCCTGATGCCATTCCATTATTTATTACACAGCTTTGAATATTTGTATAAAACATTTTGACCCAATTTATAAAATTGGGGCCAAAATTAAAAGCCTCAAGGCAACTGAAAAGATAATGCCATTCTAAAGAGTCGAAAGCCTTTTTAAAGTCAATGAAAATCAAGATACCTGGAATATTCTTACTGTCTGTAAATTCCATTACATCGAAAATTGATCGGATAGTCTCACCAATATAGCGATCTTCAACATAACCTGTTTGATTATGATGTATGATATTCGGTAGAACTTTCTTTAATCTTAACGCAATCACTTTTGAGATGATTTTTTGCATCCACGTTAATAAGAGAGATTGGCCTCAATTTTCAATGAGAGTTCGATCTTTATGTTGCTTTTCTATCAGAGTTATGATTGCTTTTCTTTGAGAGCTTGACATTTCACCGTGGTCGAAACACTCTCTCACACACTCCATAAAAGGATCACTAATTAATTCCCAGCAACTTTTGTAAAATTCTATTGGTATTCCATCATTACCAGGAGATTTGTTATTCTCAAAACTGTTAAGGATGGCTGTAATTTCTTCAACAAATATTTCTCCCTCACAAGATTGTTTTTGTTCTTCTGATAATCTTGGTATATTCAAATTATTTAAAAATTCGTTTCCATTTTCCCTATCCTCATCTGTTACGTTTGATTTGTACAAGCTATGGTAAAAGCGTTTTTGTTCGTTTAGTATCCCAAAAGGATCAGATGTAATGGAACCACTTATTAGCAGTTTTCTTATATGTTTTTTGACGTGATTACGCTTTTCTAAATTTAGAAAATATTTTGTGCTTCTCTCGCCATGCTCGTGCCATCGTGCCCTTGCGCGAATAATTACACCCCTTGTTTTTTCCTCATAGTAACTTTCTAGAATTTCTTTTGCTTCATTTAGAGTATTTAGGTTAGAGTCGGAAGGGTCCTGTTCGAATTTTTTAGTCGCTTCCTCGTATACTTGTTGTAAGTTTTT